TAAATATCACAGAGAAAAGAGGAAGGAGGAAGATTCCACGGATCAAGAGACATACAGGAACTAAGCAAGTGAGTCATCATCGACACATAAGGTTAGGTATCATTCTATAAAGCTAAAGAAACATTCCCTTGCCCAGTCCAAGGTAAGGCCTCGGCATTTCAAAATTCTCTTAGGATCGCATATGATACAGTAGCGGCACTGATCATATTTGTATATTCAAGAGGGTCCATTGCGCAGCAATATTTTCTTAAAAACACAATTCCCACTCTAATTCAAAAACTCATTGTTTTTACAGATTAACACGCACTCTCTAAGAAGTCAACTAGGTTCTATTGGGCTGTTACTGACACAAACCAGAGGAACTGCAAATCTTTTCTTTTTCATCTTAAAATATAATACATAGGCAGATTTATAACTTTGTGCTTCATAAGCATACTACCTCAACATAATAAATGAGAAACATATTCAAAACAGAAGTAAAATTAGATCTGGTAGGGTCTTTATTCAACTGGAGTCTTGAGGAGATTACCCTCAGAGCTGAATTTCCTAATGTAACAAATTCACACAAATGTCGCTACAGATATAATGAATGTCTTTTCATCCTGTGTCACTCAGCCCCCCACTCCCGCCTGCAACCCTTCCCCCTAGACTTTTCAAAATGTATTTCATACACAGACTCAGTGTTCTGGTTGTTTATTTAATTAACATGACAGCCCGGCATACACAGCATTTCTTTCAGCTCTACAGTTTTAACTTTTTACATTTCAAACTCAATACAGCAAGAATAAAATGACCGTTTTCACTCTTTCCAACCTCTGTAAATTTATATAGATTCACTGACTATTTCTGTCAGTTAAAGCAGTTTTTCAGTATGCCTTAAATATCTGTATTCGCAAAGTAAAATTACAATTTTTAAATCACAGGAAAACAAAACCTTCTTTTCCCTCACCTTTCCCAGGGGATAATAAAATCCTGTTTTCCTTTTTCAGTATTTTCAGAAGTTGACATTACTTAATTTTAATTCTGTCACCAAGTCAGAAATAATCAAGATTTCTCTTTGTATCATCACAAGTAATACTACTGAAATGGGACAGAACATACAATTTAGCTGTAAAGTTCATCATTATTTTGGGAATTTCTTCCATTTGAGAAATATATGTCATCTTAAAATAATGTAGGAATTTAAAGGGTAAACTATATGTGTGGAAGAAATATTTGTGTATTTTACCTTTTAAAATCAAGTTCAACAGTTTTATTAATAAGAAAGTCCACTATAGGCCTACGTTGCAGTCCTTCCATCAAAATCCAACTTATTTCTTCTATTTTTGTTTTGTTTTCCTTTTTGCTTTCTTCTCATATCAATGATGAAAAACTTGATTCTTCTTCAATAACCAACTCAAAATCAACTTACATTACGACTACTTTACATTCATATATATGTTAAGAATGTTTGAGGCCTTAGAGAAATAGTCATAGGAAACAATTTTGGTTTTTAACAACATAATATTGAGCATACATTTGTATATTTTTTGACTCATGTTGTATCTATCACAAAAGAACTATATCATTAAATGATTTAAATGCAGTGATGGAAAAAGTCATGCCTTGCATGTAGACTATAGGTAAAATCTTAAGTGCTTCTTAAAATGTACCTAAAATAAAATTCCATATGTTTCGGAATCTTTCAAAAATGAATGCATAAGATGGTCAAAGCAGTTAAAGAAGAATAAGTAACCAACTATACTCTTTTATGTAGAAAAAGACTAGACACCCCTCAGATACAATCTCCAAATGTTAGAAATTACATAACTGAAACTTTATGTGAGCAACATATTTATTAATGATGCATAATATGTAATAATTTATGAAAATCCACATAATTTGCAGAAGTACAGTGGCAATCTGAGTGAAATACAGCTGCTCTCAGATGTGAAAATCCACTTAGGAAAGGTGTATAAATCTTAGTAGACATTTACCTTCTTAACACTGCCAGCCTAAATAGTACATTTAGACACACTCATCCACAAAATCAGACTTCAGGGTACTGGGCCTGCAAGACTGAAAGAGATGCTATAAACTTCATTCTTTACTCAGAGTAATGATTTTTTCACTTGCAGTAACAGACACATCAAGGGCTTGATTAATTTTTGTGATCAAAGACTAGAACTATTTTCTCCTATCCTTCCTAGAGATCATCTTTAGCATCAGTGCTGCAAAACTCAACTGCACATGTCATAACCCATCTATAGACTTTATTTCTATAGATGTAAGTTTCTGACAGGAAGGTTGGGGGAAGAATACACATATCAGTCAGTGGGTTTGTCTTAAGAGAATTTTATCATATATTCTCTTTGCCCATTAGAACTAAGAGCCATGGAAGAGAATGAACCCAAAAGCAAGTAGCCACTGTCAGACATATGGAGAAAAAAATGCTGGAATTCTCTCACCTTTGAACTACACAATGAGCAACACTGAAAAAAATTCTCAGGAGGTCTCTGTGCTTTATACCTATACAGTACAGTTTAAAATTAATTTGTTTCCTATGAACATTGCCTTGAGTTGAGAAAAGATAACCTTTTAGAAAAGAACCAATCTGGTAGTATTCAGGAGAGTGTTATATGCTCGTTTTACAATTATTTCGATTCTTCATAAAGTATGTAAATGACAGTGGTACACTTTGCACCCTTAAGCAGAAGTTTGTTTCCTTATGATAAAACAGATAAGCCATTTACTATATAGCTCCTGAACTTTTCACATAGTTAGGTCAACGTATGAGATATTGCCCTATCTTATAAGGTACTATCCCATGTTAGTTCCCACCCACTCTCCACAATTAAGCTCAGCAAAACTTTAATGGGTCATACATAAAAACTAATCTTCAGTAGCACACACACACACACACACACACACACACACGTCTTCCTTAAAATGTCAAAGATTTAAATTTCTGCTAAACGTAATCTTGTTTTTCCATCTACCATAAGAGATAGTCTTTAGTTTTAGGACATTATTCATAAAGATAGCCTTAAAAAAAGGTAACCCCAAGAAAATGATTGAAATAGATTACACATGTGAATTCTTCAGCCGCATTAATCAGCAAAACATTTTTAAAAGGCGATGCTCAGTTATTTTCTTCTAAGTTTGCAGATTATTCTAATCAGTCATGTACTAATTTAAGGCAGAGGAAACCAATAAAAATCTGTGGGTTACTTAACACAGCTGGTTAGTCACCTAAATATCGTCTTATCTTAATCCACTCTTAACTCTCTCAAAGGTAAATATGAAATTTTAGAGTGTAATTTTAGAGGGTAACTGATATTAATTTGGAGTCAATTTTTTATGATTAAGTCCAGATTTTCTTAGAAATTAGGGTTCAATGTTTTCCTGGACCACAGCACATTTGAACATAGCTCAAGAGCTGTTCTAAACACATTTAAACCAGTGGTATTTTCGTTTAAAAGACATTGTCTCCCATAACCCTGGAAAGAAATTACACTGTGTTTCTATACTAATTAGCTTATGCTGAAGTAGATAACTTTGTTCTAATGATCTCTAAATTTCTACCACAACTACGTATCAGTCAGTGGCCTGACTTTTTCCTTTACTCTTAGGGTAAGCTTAAACTCAAGAAATTTGTTTTATCTAAACAAGAAGCTCAATAAGTCCATTTCTTTTAAAATAAACACAGAGATTATGATGCTGTCATCTATTCTGCTAAATAATGTCAAACAACCACAAACCTATGTAATCAACTCCATTTCAGTAACAAACTAGCCACCCACACCATATGGTGGTGACTGCTATTTCTTGGAAACACCTAAAAGATTTTCCACAAAATAACCTAAAAAGAAAAGGCTTTCTATACCTTAGAATATTCTTTCACACCCTACATTTGTCCTAATGGTGCCACAGAGAGGTATGAATTTAAATGGGGAAAGTGTAAATTTCCATTTGCTGAACATAACTAGGTTTCTGGCGTCCCTTCATCAAGTGTCATACCTTCAAGGACAGAACTAAAGAAGTATGTTTTTTCAGGTATGCCTTGTGTTTGAAATTGGCATTTGTTCTTTTATGTCATTTCCAGCAACTCTTCCATGGTCCCAAAACATTCACTGATATTAAGGAGACTCACCATCAAAACTGGCTAAACTTTTTATAGTTTTACTCATAATTCCAGAGTCCTCCACCTCCTCCTTTCTGAAAGCTATCACAGAGAAACACTCTCCTGCATGTTTCCTGTAAAACCTGAATCCACCATTTCAATTTTTAACTATCCACTTAATTTTGTAAGTGCCCAAGACAAATGTCATTTCTTTAGTGGACATAAAATAGCATGGTTTACTTTTTGAGCCATTCTGAAGTTCAGACACAGCCCTCAATTTGAAGTTTATGTGCAGAATACAAAACACTGCCATGTAATAGTGCCTGCTTCCCAATTATATTTAAAAAGCAATAGACACCGTCATTACTTCACATCTGCAAGTAAAACTTCCTGCAAAACCAGAACGTGTGCATCAGTGCCTCAGCTCCAAGCATGTCCTGCTTCAGCGCAGACTCTGTTCACTGTTGTCATAAACGTTTGCCTGCTACTTTATAAGAAAGAAATTGCATTAAAAATAAAAAGAAAGAAATAGGACATCTGTATTTTTTAAAACGCCCATTGCTTAAAAGCCAAGCCTAATTCTACCGTCTCTGCTAAGGCGGGAAGCCTGAGAGTACTTTAAAGGGCAGGGAAGCCACACACCAGGTGTAACAGATCTGAGAAAAGTTGGCCCAGAGGAGGAAGCCCGGGCAAATGCCTTTGAGTTGTGTTCCTTCTTCGCGTGTCTGTCCTTCAGGTTACAAAATACTCGGTGAGAGACACAGAGATTAAAAACGCCAGCTTCTCACCAAGTCTAAAGTTCTACCACGTTTCCTAGAGGATCTTCCGGGAGTTGTCAACACTTCGCGCCGCTTCCCAAGTTCCCCGAACCGCCCCGAAACCGAGGCGCCGCGCTTACCTGCTCCCGGGGGATGCAGGGCAGGGAGGTCCTGCGGTGGGACTTGCCGCCGCAGCCCGACATCTCGACGGACACCACGGAGCTGGACCGCCGCCGCCTCTTGAACCCCGGGATCTCTTCCTTGGTCCCAGCAATCCGCTGGGACCCCAGAGGCTCCCTCGGAGCCGCCGCCGGAGACTGCGGCAAGATCTGCTCCGCGTACCTGGCCAGGAGGATCCCCAGCACGCCGGCCAAGTACGCCAGGTAAGGTCTCCAGGCGACCTGGAACCTCTCCAAGGAAATCAGGGCCACGGTCCGGACCGCGCTAGTCAAGGCGAGCATGAGGACGCCCAGCCTCAGCCTCAGCCTCAGCACCAGCCATGTCGCGGCGGCCAGGCAGCTGAGCACCACCCCCGCGGCGGGCAGCGACAGCAGGCGGTCCTCCCCGACGCCCAGCCCGATCTGGACGAGCGCTTCCCCCCCGCAGCAGGCGGCCAGCAGCGCGACGGCCAGAGGCAGGCGCACCCCGGCGCGCCGGAGGTACAAGCCCATCCAGAAGAAGGCACCCAGGAGACTGAGGAGCAGCGCCCAGGGCTGCAGCCAGGGGCTGAGCCGCGCGCCGCCCCCGGGCGCGCCTCCCCGAACGCCGGGGAAGACGCCCCCTTCTGCTCCCGGGACCGCTTCCTCCTCCTCCTCCTCCTCCTCCTTCTCCTCCTCCTGCGCCGCCGCCTCTTCCCGACTCGGCCCCAGCTCTCCTCCGCTCTCCGCACGGACCAGCCGCACCAGCACTGCCAGCAGAAAGGACAGCGAGCCCGCGCACAGCGCCGAGGAAAGTTTCTGCGAGCGCCGGAGCGGCTGCAGCACCAGGGCTCCCCGCGACCAAGTGGGGTGTGCACGACTCACCCCGCCTCGGTCCAGCTCGTCCCGATCTCGGGCGGCCTTGGCCGGCACTGCCATGGTGCGACCTCCACGCCGGGGTCCCCCTGGGGGGGCGCCCCGAGCCAGGAGCTCACGCTTGCTGTTCCCACCGCCCCCCCTCAATCCCTTCTTCTCCCCAGGCCCAATGTCCACTGAAAAGTTTCTGCTTTCGAGTAACTCCGGGAGCAATGCTAGATGCTCCAAAGAGACTTCAAGTGATAAGCTGGCATAACCAGGCTTGGACTTGTCTCTCTTGGAAGGGCTTTGAGGATCCGCTGCTCCGCCTCCGCCCCCAACCCCGACTTCTATCCTCGGGCTCTCTTCCTACTTCAGGATTTTAAATGCTGCCCGCTGCACGCGCGCCGGGGGCCTCGGACGCTGCGGGAGCTGGGGGCGTGGGGCGCGTTGGAGGCCATTGCGCGCGCCAGGCCCGCGGCAGATGGAGGCTCCCGTCTCTTCCTGCAGCTCTTTCTCTATCACTCTTTCTTTCTCCGCGGCAGATCCTCCCGGGAACAGCCCCAGGACGCGAATCGCCATTCCCCGGGGCAGCAAGGGAAGCCTCCGCGGAGTCCGTCCGTCCAGTTCATGGCACAGGGTGGTCAAAGCGGAAAGGGGCTGAGAAATGAGAAGTTCGTGTGTCTGGTCTGAGAGGAGCGGCTGCGGCTGGAAAAAGGAGGGAGAGAGAGCGAGCGAGCTGGGAAGGAAGGAAGGGCGAGAGGAAAGGGAGGGTGAGAAGGGAAAATGAGGTTTGCACACAGGCGCGCTCGCGCGTACACACACCGGCCCCACACTCTTCCTTTGGGTGCAAGGTTGCTGGTGATTTGCAGTTTTGCAAAAGAGAAACGAGTAAAGATGACTGCTTCAAACTGTGTAAACCAAGCAACTGGAGTGGTGGACAATTCCTCTTTCTTTAAGACAACTCCCTAGGAAAGCTCTCGGAGCTGAGCTCCCGCCCCTCCCCCGGAGGAGGCGCTGCTTGCAGCTCCTTGGCTCCTTTCCGGGGAGCCCGGCCCACATGGTCTACTCGCTCGCAGCCCAGAGGCCCGGAGAGTCCACCGCTAGGTTCGCTGACCGCAGCACCGAGCGCGGGGGGCTGCGGCTGGCGCTGAGCCCCAGCTTTCTAGGACGCTCCAGGGGGCGGGGGATCACTGGGCCGCTTGGTAAGGGATGAGAGCCAACATAGTACTTCCTCTGTCATTGCGAAAGACACCCACATCTAGTATATCCGGGCGATTTAAAGATGCTCCGAAGTTCTCAGGTGTCACCGTACACCCATTACTGATAGCTTTCCAAGGCTTTGGTTGCTCCTGCTGGAAGATCTACTCCCAACAGAGAACCCAAGCCCGTCCCGTTGGACCAAAGGAAGGAAGAATCTCAGAGTTACCTAGACTGCAATATATTAAAGAGCAGGAGGGTCACATAAGTTGTTGTTTTGGTTTTTTTTTTAAGGTCTAACTTTTTGAAAAAACATCTAGAGTATGATTATAATTCAGCGGTTGTTGATGGTGGATGGTAAAAATCACACTACTAAGGGACCATAGTCTCAAAAAAACGTGTATAGGCCCAGACAATGAAATAAACACTTAGAATGAAGAAAGTTTATGAGAAAAAATAATCAGTGCTTTGGTAAAGATTACAGGTACACGTACTGCGGTAGGAAGTATTTGAGAAGCCGAAAAAATTACACATTTTTTTCAATTTATGAAAAATCATGGGCCAGGGAAATATCTCAGCAGCACAGCACCTGCCTGGCAGGCACAAAAGTCCTGAGTTCAATTCCTGGTACCACAAAAAAAAAAAAAAAAAAAAA